AACATAATCGAATGAATAAATTGAATGAGAAAATTACCAAAAATTCAAACAATGAAACCAAAATTTTATTTTAAAAAATTTTAAAACAAAACTCCAAATAAAAAAGGGACGACCGACCTCCCAAACCTATCAGCGATGAACCCGATGACGAAGGCCCCGATCATCCCCCCAAACACGAAGAGGGTCGTACACAGAGACCAGATGACGGTTAGTGCATGCTCACTTATTCCGTCAGTCGCTGGAGACGACGTTGACGACGACGATGAGGACCGTGATGAGGAGTAGGATTCGTTTAAAAATTGCTTCACTAGCTGTAGAAAAATTTTTCCAGCGACGTAATAAATCAAATGGGAATAAGAAAAAAAAACAAAATAAGAATGATCTGAAAGCAAAGATACGAAAGCAAAAAATAAAAAAAAAAAACAATTTTTTTTGTATTTTTTAGACAAAATCAACACTGCCTGCTACAGTAAATTTCCATGTGGAATTTATTAAGATAACAAGAGATTAATCAAACAATTAATAAATAAATCAAAATAAAATAATTGAAATAATTTAATAAAACATTTATTCATATATAGAATTAAAAAAAACGAAAAAAGGGGTCATAACCAACAGTAACAGGCTGATTGAGGACACTGATGTTGTATCCAAACTGATAGGAAGTAGCCATTGCTATCAGGAAACCAATTGATATCATTGACCAAGTCCATCCCTGTTTGTGATCGTGGTTGTTGTCGTCATGGTGATGTCGTCGTCGTTGTTGTTGTCATGGCGATATGTTGTTGTTGTAAATGATGGTGTTTATGATGGTGTTAATATTTGTAAATAAAAGAGATGAAGATGTTCTATCTATCTATCTATCTATCTATCTATCTATCTATCTATCTATCTATCTATCTATCTATCTATCTATCTACCTATCTATCTATCTATCTATCTATCTATCTATCTATCTATCTATCTATCTATCTATCTATCTATCTATCTATCTATCTATCTATCTATCTATCTATCTATCTATCTATCTATCTATCTATCTATCTATCTATCTATCTATCTATCTATCTATCATAGGCTTAAGTGAGAGATTTATTTTGAAATAATTATTGAATGTTCATAAAATTAATTTATGCTAATGGTTTGTCCTAGCAAGATGTCTCATGTCAAAAACGTGTGCATGGCTCACTTAAGGATTAAAAATAATTTATAAATTAAATAAAGAAAATAAATAAATCCATTTAAATTACAAATAAGTGGGCAATACATCTAACAAAAAATGAAAACATACAAGAAAAAATGAATACTTTCTGCTTGGCAGTAATTCGCATCGCTACTTATCATGTGAATACTTTAAATATTTATTTTATGATTATGAATCTTAGCAGAGCAGGCATTAAAGATTGAAATATTTGGTCTCAAAACTAACAAACACACATGTACTTCAACCCATGTACTAATTCAACAGAAGACCTTCACAAAACTTGATTTCAAAGTTTAAAGTTAAAGAAAAATAATAATAATTAGAGAATTTTTAAATAAAAAACTAATTTTTAAAAGAAAATTAATTTGTATTTTTCGTTTTGTTAACTAAGCTGTCAAAATTTTTGAACTACCAAGTGAAGATTAATGTTTAAAGCAGCCATATTTTAAAAGTTTTTGTTATAATTTTTTATCAAACGTTAGCAGTTGTAACACATCATCTGGAAATCAACTGGTTTGCCTACCTACCAACCAACCTACTAACCAACCAACCTACTTACCTACCTACCTAGAAAAAATAGTAATAACTGCACGATCACATTCCAAAACTGTGTAGAGAAAAATGTAGCAATGTACTGTACGAGGTACTGACGGCCGTATGTTGTGACTCCGGTGATCCCGCTCACTGGTGCAGACTTTTTGTTGTTTTTTCCATACGTTCTTCAAAAACCTGCCAGAGGGGGACGCCGGGTCAACCAGATTAACAAGCGCCTGTCCGAATACTCCACGATTGAGGTTACGTCCCTGCTCTCGGGTTTTGAAAACCACATCAACGCAAATCCACGCGGCCACAACCCCGACCGGTGGATAAATGCGGTGTCTTCTTGCATAGAGCAAGGAAATGTTTCAGCAGCCGTCAAACTTGTCTGCTCGACCGAGGGCCTGGCAGAAAACACGCCTGAAACCTAG